CTCTCTCTCACTCTCTCTGTCCTCTCCTCCCTTCCCTTCCCACTTACCCTTTTTGTTTTTGTTTTGTCAGCTCAATTTGTTTTATGTCTCTCTGTATCTTTTTATCTCCTTTCTGGTCTCTGTTTCTACTCTTTCCCTTTTTGGAACTCAGTTGCTCTATTTATCAGTTCTGCCCCCAACTAGCCAGGGATATCAGGAAGGAAGGCCTCAGTTCATCTCTTGCTTCCAGCCCTCATTACTACTTTCTTAGGTGTAATTCAGAATCTCTGGCCTGGTGGTCTCAGGACCTGGAGCCTTCACAATAAGCGACCTCTCTGCCACTCTATCTACATGAATCTGTCTTACACTTTTATTTTTAAACTTGGTTCCTTGGTCTTGCTTCCTTGCTGTCTTGTTTTTCTCTCTAGCCTGAGTTTGGTTAAATCTGTGGAAAGACCAATTCCCACTCCTGACTGTTCTCTTGAGCCCTGGGAGTATTGGCTGAGAACTTGGCACGAGGCAGTTTTGGCAAAGGAGGAGAGAAAGGTACAAAGGACAGAAGGCTGGCAATAGCCACTTCATGGCTTCTCCATCGTTTACCCACCTTCTGCCCACTCACTCTCTGGAGATGCTGTTGCTTGTATTTCATATAGAATCTAGGGCCCACCAGATGTGGCCATGCTCATTTTCCTACCACAAAATCCGTACACCCAACTTTCTCTGTCATATAACCTCTCTCATGTTCCTTGGGTATAAATGGAAGATGGTCCCTCCATCCTCTCATCTAAAACCAATCTTTTGCCTTTGCTTTGAATTTATCCTAAATCCCCATTCTCAGTTCCCTCCACTGGTTCTTCCTTCTTTCCCTTGCATTTCTAACCTGACTCCTCTGTTAGATGCTTTTTTGTCAGTGTATTCCTTTCCTTGGTGTGTAAAAACTAAGAAAACCTTATCTTGACCCCATATTTCCCACATTAGTTTTAATTACTTTTGTTGCCAAGCTTCCTGAAAGATTTGTCTATACATATTTACTTATTTACCTTCTATCTTTTCTTGGCTGAATTAATTTTTATTTTATAAAATATATTCTTATATTTTAAAAGTCAACTAGCATTAAAAAGTTTATGCCTCTAAACTGTAGTCATCCCTTTTCCTTGAGGCAACTACTTCAGATTTTATGAGGGGGTATGTATGACGTACTCAGTGTCATGGGTTCTGCTAAGAAGCTGAGTTATCTTTACTATCTGGCCTATCCTTTACCAACCATAAGCTTTTGTTACTTAACCATCTTCCAGCTTCTCCTCCCTTTCCTCTTTCTATCCTTACCTCTTCCCATGAGGATGTTTCAAAAGAACACTTACTCATATATTGTTACACACAGAGACTTTTGCACTGTACGTATTGGAGGTATATTCTCTTTTTTTTTTGTTCTGGGGATCTAACTCAGGTCCCTGTGCTTGTGCAGCAGGCGGTGAAACCACTGAGCTAAACCCCCGGCCCTGGAGGTGTATTCTTGCTAATGCATGACAACATACCTTCCCCACATAGCAATGCACAGGCCCCCATCAGCACATTTTGCTGAGCACATATGGATATGAGTGTGCACTCACACCCACAGATACCCACACCCACAAAACATAGTGGGACAGATATGCATGTGGACACATATACACACACTCATTTACACACATAGTAGTCCTTTCCTATGAAGCTAGAACTATAATCTTCAGAGAGTATAAGCTAGAGAGGAGAGAAGATAAATCTTAAAGACCAGGGACAGAGTTTGAAGGGTTCACTTTGCTTTTCTTGTTTTTCCCATATTTGTGTTTCCCTTTTTATGTTCTCATTTTTGTTTCCCTTTTTTAATTTCCATCTGAAACCCCATTTGTCTGGCTCATGTGACAGAGAAATATATGGAGGCATGTGTACTGCCTAGATGAAAGGCAAGACAGGGAAGTCAGCAGCAGCTACAACCCACTGCTCCCGGTGGCCAGGCCCCGCTCAGGGAGCACAGGATCACCTGCCTACTATGACCTGGAACAGAACCTGGACTCTGTGGTGATGGAGGAGTTATTTGATCCAGAGGAAAATCCCTCCCCAGCTCCATCCTTAGTGGTGCTTCAGGAGTCTGCTGGCACCGGGAAGATAACCCTGACCAGGAAAATGGTGCTGGACTGGGCCACCACTATCCAGTACCCAGGCCAGTTTGATTATGTTTTTTTTGGTGAGGTGCAGAGAAGTAATAATGCTGCCTGAGTGCAGCCTGAACCAGCTCCTGTTCTGGTATTGTGAGGACAATCAAGCCCCTATCACAGAGATTCTGAAGCAGCCAGAGAGACTGCTGTCCATCCTGGATAGCTTTGATGAGCTACAGAGGCCCTTTGAATGAGAGCTGAAGAATCGTCGCTCAAGTCCCATGGAGAATGTGCTGCACATTTTAATTAGGAGAAAGTCACTTCCCACTTGCTCCTTTCTCCTCACTACATGGCCCTCTGTTTTGCAGAATCTGGAGTCCATACTGGGTGGTGAATAGTGCCAGGTCCATGTCTTAGGCTTCTCCAAAGAGGAGAAGGTATTTCAGCTTCTACTTTATGGATAAGGAGAAAATCAGAAATGCCTTTGACTTTGTACAAAAAAATGATGTTCTCTACAAAGCATGTCAGATTCCAGGCATTTGCTGGGTGATCTGCTCCTGGCTAAAAGGGCAGATGGAAAAAGGCCAGGTATCCTGTGAGACACCCAGCAATAGCACCAACAAATTCACTGCCTGTCTCCACTTTCCTGCCCACTGATGACAATGGAGGCTGTTTGGAGCTTACCCAGCACAGGGTCTTAAGGGGCCTGTGTTCCTTGGCAGCTGAGGGGATCCAGAACCAGAGGTCCCTATTTGAAGAAGCTAACCTCAGGAGGCACAATTTAGATGACCCTAGACTTGCTGTTTTCCTGAGCAGAAACGATTACCAAGAGGGACTCGACATCAAGAAGCTCTACAGCTTTTTGCCACATTAGCTTACAGGAGATTTTTCGTGCCATGTCCTACCTAATGAAGGAGGACCAGAGCCAGCTCAGAGAGGAGTCCCATAGAGAAGTGGACAGGTTGCTGGAGGTGAAGGAGCAGGAAAAGAATGAAGAGATGACCCTCAATGTGCAGGTTTTGTTCAATGTATTGAAAAGAGAGAGTTCCTTGAACTTGGAGCTCAAGTTATGCTTCAAAATTGCTCCTTCAGTAATAGAAGGTCTGATACATTTTAAAGAACAAATGGAATATATAAAGCACAACAGGACCTGGGGTCTGGAATTTTCGTTGTGTGATACTAAAGTAAAGAATTTTACAAAGGGTGTTCAGATAAATGACATCTCATTCAAACAAAAGGAAATTACATAGTGGGAAGACATTTTCTGTCAAAACTAGCTGGAGTAAAGGACAGGAAGAGGAGTACAAATGTCTTCTTATGGACAAGGGCAATGTAGTAAGGACACAAGCCAGGGCTTCTAATGGAAAAGGCAGACAGACAGAAGTAGACAGGAAGTTAGCAGTAGGATGGGAAACAAAAAAGTGGGCAATAGAGATGGAAGATCAAAAGGATGGTGGGGTTCAGTTCTAGAATTTCATTGTTAATTTTTTCTCTAGATGATCTATTTGTGATAGTGGGGTATTGAGGTACCCCACTACAATTGTATTAGTGCTTATATGATTTTTCATATCCATTAATATTTGTTTTGTATAGTTGGGGACATTCATATTTGGTGCATATATATTTAGGATTGTCATGTCTTCCTCTTGGATTGTGCCCTTCACAAGGATGTAGTGACTATCTTTGTCTCTCTTAATTAGTTTTGGTTTGAAATCTACTTTGTCTGCAAGTAAGATTGCTACCCCTGCTTTTTTCTGGGTTCCTGTGAAGTGGAGAACTGTATTCCATACTTTTCCTTTCAGTCTATGAATTTCTTTTTGAGTTAGCTGTGTTTCTTGTATACAGCATATTGCTGGATTTTGCTTCCTAATCCATTCTGCCAGTCTATTTCTTTTGATTGGTGAATTGAGGCCATTAACATTGATGGTTATAATTGATAGATATTGACTCATCCTTGTCATGATATTTTACTGTTGTTGGCTCTTTTATTTCTTGTTTTTTTTTCTCCCCTTTCCCTTTATTTTCTTACCTTGCCTGGTGGCTTCCCTCTGTTGGGTCTCATGGAGTTGTGATCTTCATTGTCTTTTTCTAGGATATTGCTTAGAATTGTTTGGAGTGCTGGTTTGGTGTTGATGAAATTTCTCAGGTGCTTTTTGTCGTGAAAGTATCTAATTTCCCCATCAATTTTGAAAGATAATTTTGCAGAATACAACAGTCTAGGTTGGAAGTTATTTTCTTTTAGGGCTTGAAATACTTGACTTCAGGCTCTCCTTGATTGGAGGGTTTGTGTTGACAAATCTGCCGTGATTCTGATGGGCTTTCCTTTGTAGGGGATTTGTTTCTTTTCTCTAACTGCCTGTAGGATTTTGTTCTTCTACTGGGTTCCTGGGATCTTGATTATTATGTGTCTAGGTGTAGATTTTTTTGATCATGGTTAGTTGGAGTTCTATATGCCTCACTTATCTGTATGTCCAATTCTCCACCTCTGTCTAAGTTTCCTACTATTACTTCTGTGAACAGTTGCATTCTACTGTATTTGAATATTATTGTAGTTGTTTTCCCTTGCATTGTTTTTCTTTGAATGGTTTTAATTTGTGTATGTGTGTGTGTTTGATAATAGTTATTTTTTTAAAAAAAATTTGCCATAAGAAAAGAAGGAGGCTACTACATATCGTCAATGAGAACAATCCACCATATCCAATAAAATGTTTAAAAGTTCATATACCATGATCAAGTTGGTTTCATTTAGGGATGCAAGGATAGTTGAACATATATAGAACAAAAATCATAATATACCACATAAATACAATTAAGGATAAAAGCCACATGATCATTTCAGTTGATGTAAAAAAAACTTCTGATAAAATTTAACATCCCTGTTGGGTGTGGTAGTATGTGCCTATAATCCCAACACTTTTGAAGGCTGATAAGAAGAATCACAAGTTCCATCCCAGCCTAGGTGACTTAGTGAAACCCTGACTCAAAACCAATCAACCAACCAAACAAACAAATAATCCTTCATGATAGCACCCTAAAAAAACTAGATATTGCAGGACCATGCCTCAACAGAATAAAGGCTATGTCTACTAAACCCATAGCAAACACAGTACTGAATAGGGAAAAACTGAAAGGATTTCTGATAAAATCAATAATGACAGAAGGATGTCCATTCTCACCACTCACATTCAATATAGTATTTGAAATATTAGCCAAATAAATTAGGCAGAAAAATAAAAGGGATACAAATAAGAAATAAAGAAGTCAAACTAATCCTATTTGCAGATGATATAATGCCATACTTAGAAGACTCTAAAGACATCACCAAAAGACTTTTAGATCTGATAAAAAAATTCAGCAAAGTAGCAGGAATCAAAATCCACATTAAGAAATCAATAGCTTTTTTATGCACCAATGCTGAACCTGCCAAGAAAGAAATCAGGAAAACAATTCCATTCTATTTTTAGAACCTCAAAGTCTTAAGTTACTTTTCTTGTGACTGAGACACAATACTCAGAACCCACAAGGTAAAGAAGGAAAGATTTTCTTCAGGTCACAATTTGTAGAGGTTTCAGCTGATAGTCAGCTGGCTCTAAGGCAGGGTGAAGGGCATTGCAGAGGAGAAACAATTCATGGCAGGGCAGGCAGAAGGCAGCGATCTGCAAGCAGTAAGCCTCCCTTTCCCTTTTATCCCATCCAGGCTACAAGTCTTTTGAGTGGTGTCACCCACTTCCAGGATGGAGCTTTCTTTATCTACACCCATATCTATGCTAAAGCAATTTAGTTATCACATGCCCCTAATCCCAGTATCACAGTCCCTAATCCAGCATCATACACCCATGATCCAGCCACTTCCCAAAAGCCCCTTGTATGAGTGCATGGGGCTTTGAGGGGACATCTAAATACAAGCTATAACACTCAAAAAAGCAAAACAAAACAAACCCTCCTAGAAACAAAACCAAGGAAGTGAAATACTTCTACAATAAAATTTTCAAAACACTGAAGAAAGAAATTGAAAAGACACTAAGACATAGAAGACTTCCCATGTTTAAGAACTGGTAGAATATATATATATATATATTTATTTATTTTGGTGCTGGGGATCGAACTCGGGACCTTATGCTTGCGAGGCAGGTGGCAGCACCACTGAGCTAAATCCAGAATTAATATTGTTAAATGGCCATATTCCCAAATGTAAGCCACAGATTCAATGAATCCCCACCAAAATTCCCATGACATTGTTTACCAAACTAGAAAAAAACATCCTAAATTTAACATTGAAACAAAGGCCCAGAATAGCCAAAGCAATCCTGAGCAAACAGAGTTATGCTGTAGGCATCTGTCTGAGTTATTTTCTTGTTGTTGAGTCAAAACATCTGACACCCACAAGTTAAATGAGGAAAGGTTTATTTTATCTCACAGTTTGAGGAGGTTTCAGTCTATAGTTGACTGATTCCAAGGCAGGGGAGCATGGAAGAGGGAAAACAACACATGGTGTGGCAGAAAGGAGGTAGGGAGCCTTCCTTCTTTCCTTTTTTATTCCATCCTGGCTTCAATCCTATTGGTTGGTGCCACTCACACTCACAACTGTGCTAAACCAATCAGTGGACTAATCTAGTATCACATACCCATGATCCAGTGACTCTCAAAAGTCCCATCTATAAGTGCATGAGACTTTGGTGAGATATCTAGATATAAACCATAACAACATCACAATATGTGATTTCAAAATATACTGAAAAGCCATATTAAAAATGGTACTAGCACAAGCTGGGTGTTGTGGTGCATACTTGTAATCTCAGTACTGGAGAAGTGAGGCAGGAGGATCAGCACAAGTTCAAGACTAGCCTAGGCTACATAGTGAGTTCAAGACCAGCCTGAACTATATAATGAGATCTTGTCTCAAAAAATGAAAAATAAATAAATGACAAATAAATAAATAAAAAGGTACTAGCACAAAAATATGAATATAGACAGATGGAATAGAATAGAGGACACAGAAACAAAGTCACATAGCTACAACCACCTGGTTCTTGACAAAGGAGCCAAAAACATGTTAGAGAAAAGACATCTTCTTTAACAAATGGTGCTAAGAAAATTTGTTACTCATATATAGAAGATGGAAACTAGATCCTTTTCCCTTACCCTGAATAACAATCAATTTAAAATGGACTAAAGACTTAAGTAGAAGAACTGAAACTTTGTAGGGCCGGGGATTTAGCTCAGTGGTTCCACCATCTGATTCTCAAGTGCAAGGTCCCAAGTTTGATCCCTGGTACCAAAAAAAAAAAGAACTGAAAATTTGAAGCTGCTAGAAGAAAATACTATATAGATGAAACACTTGAAGCCATAGGTAGAGGCAGACTTCCTGAATAGAACTCTAATAGCCTAGGAAATAATAATAAGTATTAACAAACATGACCAAATGAAATTGAAATGCATTGGCACAAAAAAGGGACTACAAAATGAGAGATAATCTTGGCCTATTACTCTTCTGGTAGAGGATTAATATTCAGAATATATAAGAAACTCAAAAAACAATACCAAAAATATAATAGTCCAATCAATAAATGAGCAGGTGAATTGAATAGATGCTTCTCAAAAGAAGAAGTACAATTGTATATGAAAAAGTGTTCAACATCTTTAGCCATTAGGGAGATGCAAATCAAAACTACACTGAGATTCTATCTCATGACAGAGAGAATGGCTATCACTAAATAATACAAGAAATAAATGTCAGCAAGGATGTAGGGGAAAAGGTGACCCTTCTAGAGTATTGGTGGAAATATAAACTAGTGCAGCCATTATGTAAATCAGGATAGAGTTTCTTCAAAAAACTAAAAACAGAACTACCAGCTATGATCTAGCTATAGAACTACTTGGCATGTGCCCTAATGAATTAAAGTCAGCTACACCTGTGTACCCATGTTTATTGCAACACAATTCACAATAGCCAAGGTATCTATCAATTGATGAATGGATAAAGAAAATGTGGTATATATACATAATGGAGTATTATTCAGCCAGAAAGAAAGTGAAATCATGTCATCTGCAGAAAAATGGATGGAACTAGATACCTTTATGTTAAACAAAATAGGCCCGACTAGGACAAATATCATTTATTTTTCCTAATATGCAGAATCTGAAAAAAAAATGATGACAGGAAAGTAGAAGGGAGACTATTATCAGATAAGAGGAAGGGATTAAATGGAAGGGCAATGAAGAGATGGATATGATTGAAATATGTTATATG